GTGTATTTGCATGGGAGTGCCTGGTTAGCACTTAGAGACCGTTATGCATCTCCCTGCAGTATAGACTTGTCCTGATTTCTAACAGTCATTGAGTCCACACAAGGGGAGATTTGTACTTTATGGTTGATGTTTATGGTTGGCAGTTCAGAATCTACGGAGTCTATTTGAAAGTCCTATCAATATAGGATTAATTGGAAAAGATTTCAGCCTAGCTAGATCTGTAGCCTCTGGTACAAAGCATAAAATATGAACTAATTCAGTCTTTTTGGGTTAAGACAGAGCTAGCAAAGATAATTAGCTTAGTTAAAATTTTTCACAGGTAATCTAGTTAATCAGTGATAGGGCCTGCATCAGATGTCATTTATGAGAAAACTACATTTTTATGAGATTGAGAGTTGTGAGATACTTGCTAGATGTTCCTTGAAAAGATGTTAAGGCCATCAAATACAAAGGCTATTTTTGCACATCTTTATATTCCCAGCACAGTGTCTGGTATAAAGCAGGAGCTACTGCTTATGAATGAATAAATGGGTAAATGAAAATCATTCCTCAGATGGCTCCTGGGAATAGAAAGATTATGTGTATGCCCATGTTTGCTGCACCATTTTGACTGAGAAGGAAATTAATTTTGTTCTATATATTTTTAGAAACATGGTCACTTAAAATTTTTCTTTATTTTAAAATGTGCACACATTTTTAATGCTACACTAGTTTTAATGTACTTTCTAAAAAATTGAATTAAATTAAAAACTACTATTTTAAGGGAAGAAAAGATCTTTATAGCTTCTCTGGCAACTATTGTCCAGTGGTTTAAAGATACCATGTGTTACCTTTGTTCAGTGTGTGTGGGTGGATGTGGATGTGGGGAGTAAAATGATTTAGTACCAGAGAATCACTAGATTAATTAAAACAGGAGCAGAAAAACTTATTTCCAGAGTACTATTTTTGGTTTATTGAATTTTCTGTTCTGTACTGATGTTTGCTTAAATTTCTTGAGAGAAGTCCAATACTAGTCTCACTGAGCTAACATGTTCCTTTAGGAGGTTCTGGGAACAATACATTGCTTCATGCCCCATACCCACTTTCAAAGACAGCAACATTGCATCTCTCTGGGATTTGCCTCTATTGTCACATCTTGCTAGGACTTCTTCTGACTCCTTAGACATTATAGAATCCTTGTGATTACATGGGGCCCCATTTGTAATCGTAATTCTCTTTAATATAACAGATTGACATTTTCTAGGGATTAGTAAACATATACCTTTGGGGGCCAGTATTCTGCCTCTCACAGTATTATAGAAGGTTAATAATATTATTCTGTTGTGTTCACCGTTTCATGACAGTTGATCCATTTTCTCAACCACTTTTCTAAGGGTCTTCAGACAGAGCCCAGGAGATCATGAAAATATTTATTATATCAGTGCTTGCAGTTAAGAGATCCAGGAAAACCAAAAATAAAAATTGTAACAGAATATTTGCAATACTTCTCAAATGTCCCTCTCTTAACACTCGGGTCTTTCTGTACCATCATGCCCATGTCTTTACTGAGTGTCCCAATTCTCTAAATTATGCAATTTACATCTATTATAAAGTAAAAATTCTTGAGAAAGAGGAAATCTTGAAATTAAAATTCTTGAGAAAGAGGAATGATTCCATGAACTTACAGAAAGTGCTGGTTCACATGTAAGACTGTTGGCTAGTGGAGTTTCGCTCAGTTACCATTTAAATGAGATGGATTGGCAAGAATGCTGCTGACATGGTTGCCTCATAGAGAGTTTCTTGAAAAACTGATACAGCTGTAAAACATGGCCTCTTCCATAGGGAAATTAAGAAGGAAAGTGCAGAGAGGAGGTGATGTGAGGTCATTCAGTTTGATGCAGTGAGCAGGAAATTCATCTCTTCTTTATTCTAAGAATGAGTACAGAGTCACAATACTAACTTAAACATTTAAATATTTTAAAGATTATAAATGATGTCACACCCTTCCTCTTACAGCCCTCCAGAAGTTTCCTGCCACATGAGAATGAAGGGCAAAGTCTCTTACCTGGTTTGTAGAGCCCCGTGTATCCTTGCACTGCCTCACTCACTTCATCTCCCCCACTCCCTACCTGGACCGGTATCTGCAGCCACACACACCTTTGCCTAGCTCCTTCTCACTCATAGCATCTTTGCTTGTCTCAGCATTTACAATATTCTTCCTGCAGATTACCTCTTGCTGCCTTTTGGATCTCAGGTTAAATTTACCTCCTCAGTGAGACTTTCATTGTCTACCTGTCCAAACCCCTTATTTCAATTCCTGGCATAGCAATTATCACTTTCTGAGATTTCTCTAGTTAATTAACCAAATAACTACAAGAGAACAAGGAAAAGCAAAACAAGATTTTGCTTTCCACTATATCCTCTGCACAGAATAGTACCTGGCAGAGGTCAGAGTTTCAATAATTAGGGGCAACAAGCAAGAATAGACAGTCAGGTTAATTCATGACTAGATTATTAGGGCATTTGGATTAGTGTACCTCTGGATTCAGCACTGGTTTTATGATGTAATAGAATTAACTCTGTTCTCTGTGAACATTTCTGTTCCCTGCCCATATTGCAAATCAATTCAATAAAACTAGTTTGCTTTTAAACTTGCATAAACAATAGACATCTGGACTTTAAAAAATTACCAGAGAAAGCACAAGATGATGCAGAGCTGTGACCTTAACCATAAATAGACTATGCATTTCTTCAAGCAGTTTTGTGGCTCTGCTGTGCCAGCGATGTAACATATTAGATGAATCTTACTTACCAATATTCTTGTTGAAAATATTTTATGGTATGAGAAATTCCCTATGTTTTTACAAAAATGGATCTGTCATACACTCTGTCAATTCTCCAATAGGTATTTACCCAAACACAAACACCCTAATTTGAAAGGAAACCTGTACCTCTATGTTCATTAGAGCACTATACACAATAACCAAGACATGGAAATAATACTAATGCCCAAAGACAGATGACTGGATCAAGAAGATGTGGTATATATACACAATGGAATATTACTCAGCAATCAAAAATACAAACTTATGCCATTTGCAGCAATGTGGATGGAGCTAGAAGGGATTATGCTCAATGAAATAAACCATAATTAGAAAGACAAATGCCAGATGGCATCACTTACATGTAGAATTTAGAAAAACTAAACAAAGGGTCAAACAAATACAAGCTTTGAGAGATGACCATAGATCTAAATCATCCAACAGGCAGAGGAGTGGAGGAAGGCTGAAAGTCAGGTGTATGAGAATACAGTGAACTATGGTAAAGGACGATGGGTACTTGGTAGTGGGAAAGCTACAGTGACCATACCTGAGGGAAGAAATCCTATACTGTCAAAAAATTTACAAGGGTATAGAATAATGGTACTTCATAAATTATAAATAAATATAAATTAAAATAAAAAATGTCTTGGGCTTTTGAATTTGTTACTTAATTTATAGTTACGCACTTTAAACTTGTTAACCTATATATACCTTTTCTCCAATAATCTTTAATCAATCAGATGAGAGGTGTGTGAGTATGAAATCACAGCCATGGACTAAGAAGTCCTTTACCTGTTCCCCATTATAATTCCTCACTGAAAGTAGGAATAATGAGTAGAACAGAGCATTTAATGGTTTTGCTGTTACGTTGGCTTTGAGCAGAAGATATCAACAAAAGATAATTTAGGAACAAATTATAGAATGCCTCTAGGGCTGACCTGTATTTGAGATGCTCTATTCACATTGAAACATGCTGCTTCTTATGCTGATGTAATGATTACCTATTTTAAAAAGTACCCAGATACTAGGATTATCTTCCATCTAGTGGGCTTGAATTTTACAGCTGGCAAGGAGCTGATAGCTCAGGAAATTAAGTGACTTCTCCAATCTTGTTCCAGATTCAGGTCTAAGGCTTTGGTTTTCTGATCCCACAAACAGTACTTCTTCCACCACATTATTATCTAGAAAGCCATTTCAGAAACTATTTGTGATCCTAGAGCATTTATTTCAGAACAATTTAAAATTTGATGTGTAATACTAGGATGTTTAAAAAATGTTTGATGGCTACTCTAAGGCACGACACATAAACTGCGGCCCGTGGGCTAAATTGACTCTGCTCTTTGTTTTTTTCTTTTTTTTCTTTTTTGTATATAAAATTGTAGTGAAGCACAGACCTACCCATTCCTGTAGATATTGCCTCTGGCACCACAACAGTAGAGTCAGTATTCTAAGAGCAACAGAGGTTGCATGACCTGCAAAGTCTAAAATGGTTATTGTCTGGATCTTCACTAACCTTCTCTGTATAACCTTATACAAAAGTTGTATATCCTTAAGTTATACTACTTAAGGATGAAAAAAAAATCACCTTAAAAATCATCGCTATCAGTTTCCATTAAAATGCAAGCAAAATATGCCATCTTAAAAAAAAAAAAAAAACTGAAAGGTGGGGCCCTCCTTGGTGGCCCAGCAGGTTAAAGCACTGCACTAAGAAGTGAAAGCCACTTCCGCATGAGTGCGATTCCCGCCTGCCTGGAGGTGACCTCATGGTGTGGCAGACCTCTCCTGGCCCGCCCGCTGCTCCCCTCAGCAGTGTACTTCGTCGATCTGCCTGTTCTGCTCCCCACTTTGTTTCTGGTGAAGCCTCTCACCGCCCCTGAGCCTCTGGCCTGTACCCCAGCTCTGTATGCACAAATAAATAAATCTTAAAAAAAAAAACAAAAAACTGAAAGGTTTGTATATTTGTATATTGCTTAGGGATATGAATTATTTGTCGTGAAAGAGTAAACAGTCATCCCCCCTTAAAAATAAACTAGGACTAGATTTCTAAAGATTCTTGGAACATCTGGACTTAGAGATCTAGTTGCCAGAGTAAAGCCCATGACTGGAAAGGAATGGACTTCATGGGGTCCTCCAGCTGTCATGTATGTTGTGCTGCCCTGATGGAACATGATCATTCACCACTGTCCTCCTCCTTGGCAGGTGGAGTGGATCCAACAACAAGTGGTTAAAAAACGGACCAAGAGGGATTATGACTTCAGCCGTGCCCAGTCGACTTACTTCAATGATCCCAAGTGGCCCAGCATGTGGTACATGGTAAGCTCACTCAACCTGGGGTGGTGTCAGCTGGTCTTGTGTTGTCCAGGAAGCATCGACTGGGACCAGGAGGTCCCAGAAACAATGAACAAGGTTTTTTTCCTCTTTGAGACCCACCATTTGAGTGTGGTTGATGGCCTATCATGTCTTCTAGATCTTGTTTTGAGCTTAGCTCTTTGGCTTGCTAGAGAAAAAGGAAGTTCCAATGCAGATGTGTGAAGCCTCTTCTGGCTAGGAGTCACTTTCTAAGTTTGTGCCAGAGGATAGAACATATAGTTAAGGAGCAGACCCCCTTCAGCCTGTGGAACATATATTCACTCTGATAATGTATCTATTCCTCTTTGAAGTCAGCTTGTTAATGGATATTGACTCCTAGAAATCCATGAAATGACTATTGGCAAATAACAGATTTCTGAGTTAAATTACTTACTATGTGCCTTTTTACTTCATGTGATAGTTTTAAAAACTAGACTGAGAAAACACTGACTGTAAAGTGTTTAATTTGTAGCTAGTTAAGTGGTTCAAATAAAAAGTATTCAGCAAGGAAAACATACTTAATATGTCATGAAGCATGATCCACCAGTTCACCTGACATCGAACTGACCTGTGAAAATATTCTCATCCTGGGTTGATGTTCATGATCCCTGAAAAAATGGTAATTATTGCCAATGTAGTTTCCCTGAATCTTTTTCGCAGTTGCAGCCCCTGCTGCTCTAGAAAGTCAAACTTTCACATACCTGCCTGTGCTGTCCTGCCTTCTTGCTTTCATCCTTGGCCTGGGGAGCTCTTTCCGCCCCTCATAGTTCCTCTGGCCATTCTAGTCCATCCTTCAGAGCTACACCTGAAGCTGGCTCTCTTCATGTCCTCATTTCTCGCCATTTTTCCTTCCTCTTTTCTCCTGGGCCCTCTGTCTCAGTCACTCGTGACATTCTTTACTTGCTACTTAGTTTTATAGTTAATGTTTTAAAAAACTTTCTCTCCTACACTGGTGCTGGGAGATGGGGCTCAGAGGAGTCTGTTATCCTCTCTGTAGAACCTGAACTTGTATCCTACAATACTCAGTATTTGTTTATTTGGAAATGGGTGAATGTGCCTGGCATTTCCTCCAATTTCTCCCTTCTTAGTTTTACACAGAAGTCAAGGTGGAAATAATTTGGACACAAAAATACCCAGAATTTTCCACAGAAAATGCTTTCATGAATAAAGAAAACGGTAGAAGCCACAAAGCTGAAAGGAAGGTAGGACTCTAAGCAGTAGGAGTAAGAGTTACCTGAGGGAACAGAAAGACACCTGAGAGCTTATTAGCTCCAAATCAAGAAAGAGTGACACACAAGGGAAGGCAGGAGCTAAGGAGCTTTGTCTGAGCTGACAAAATGGTAAGAGTGTAATGGGATTAAGTGAAAGGATGGAAGCAAAATCCCTCTTCACCCTTGTTTAGAAAGTTGGGGCAGGGGAACCCTCCTTTTCTTAAATATCTTGTAAGGAACAGCCAAATGATTTTCTGCTCTTGCCCCTATGGCCATGGGAGTACAGCTCTCCCTGATTCTCTCAAAACTCTGTCAGGCATGGTTTCCCCTCATCAGACTCATTGCCAAGGTGTTACCTCAACCTCATGGTGACTGCAAAGGTTTCAGTGCTTGTATGGTGGCCTCTTCATTCTGAAGACCCACTTATACTTCTTTGGAAGTTCTCTTTTGATAGGAAAAATTGTTTCAATATGAGGGAGGACCATTTGTTTGGCCATTTAAAATGTTGGGGATTTTCCAACACAATGATAATTAACATAGGAAGCATTTATTGAATACTTTCTATGTGCCAGATACTGTGCTGTATAAGCATTTCTCTAAAGCAATGCAAATAACAGTGTGTTAATAATAACCTATTATTAAATTAACTTGAGAAATAGTAAAACTTTGGTTCCTTGCCTAAGTGATCCAGCATCAAAGTGGGAGAGCAGAGACTCCAAGAGATGTCAAGCAGTTTGATGAGAGCACACAGACTTAGCCTGACATCCTATCCCCACCCCCTCCTTGTAAAATGCCATCATAAGGAAGTCTAGTCTTACCCTCCAGGAACTTCTAGTCTATTCACAGAGATGAGGGTAAAAGAAAGGTGGGATGGTGGGTGCCAGGTAGGATAAAAAAGTACTTCATACTTTTTGCTGGGTTCCAGCAAAGTGTTTCAAAACTTCCTGTTAAATAATGGCCTTTTCTTTAACAAACGGCATAGGAAACAGGCTTGCACATTTTATGTTTATCTGTCAGGAGCAATAGGACAGGATGAGAGCTGAAACTTCAGACCTACAGATCTAGATCAACTTCTTATTATTTCACTTACTATGCCCGTGATTGAATCACTTAAACTGTTCTCAATTCTAAAGGAATTGAGATGTCACTAACAGACAATGTACAACTGTGGCTACAGTAAGCCACATCATGTAGTCTAGGTGGGAAGTAGGCTGTGCTGTCTAGGTTTGTGTAACTATGTCTGTGCTGTTCAAACAAAAGCGAACTCTCCTGTGAGTTTATCAGCACGTATCCCTGTCATTAAGCAATGCATGGCTGTATCTAGACCTTATGTAAGTTAGTCATCATAGCATTACAAATCACAGAGCTTAGTTTTCAAAACAATAATTTTTCCATGAGTTCCTTAGGTCAAGCATATATACACTGTACATATATACACAGATAACTTCTGTTCTGTGATGTCTGGGTTTTCAGCTCAAAGACTGAAAAGCTTGACTGGAGCTAGAGGATCCACTTCCAAAGTGGCCTAGTTACACACTCTTGTTTCCCATCCACATGCGCCTCTTGCCATAGGCCTGCTTGACACAGTGCTGACTTCCCCGGGGCAAGTAATCCTAGCGGTCATGTTCAAAGCAGTCAGGTCTTCTGTGATCTAACCTCAGGAAAACAGTTCTGTGATTTGCTGTTGGTCATATGTGCCAACAGTGTGAGAGGGGGGACGGCAAGAAGGGCTAAATACTAGGACATTAGGATCCTAGAGGAACTGGTTACCAGAATCAAATGCAATATTGCTTGAGAAGATTTTAGTAGAGTGTCTGACTGTTGACAAATCATAATAATTGCTATTCTCTCTGACTTGATTTTAATACATGCACTTTCCTTTTTATTTGCTGTTTAAATTGCTACCAGTCAAAAAAGAGTGGACTTGCATGTCCAGTGGGCGTTCTTCAGAACACTCTAGTGACACATCAGTGACAGCTGAGGCAAGGTACTGATTTTCATCTCCTTCCTTCCTCTGCCTGTGCCCTGGACTCTGTTCCAGTGTTTCCGAGGGTGCTTCAGTGGGGTCCTGCCTGAAGCTCATTAGCCTAGGCTCCTCCCTGTCATTCTGTATTTATTATAAGAAAATAGAGAGTAAAGAATGGCATGAGATGTGCCTGAGTGTCTCTTTTCATTAATTTTAAAGTTTTACCTTTTTTTCCCCTCTCCTTGGAAGGTGATGTGTGAAAGCATTATGTTTAACCTTACAGCTTGGGCAGTATATTCAGGGAAATGTGAGTGTGTGATGGAGATGATGGGCGCATGATTACTCCTCTGTCCTGAAATGGTGCACTCAGGCTTCCAGAGTTGGGAGAACCCAACTCTGAATCAGAGCTCACTCAGAATCAGAGCTCACTTTCTGTTACACATTGTTGCACCTCCACTGCCACTTGCTCTTTGTCTAGCATGGTGGCAAGTACTGAGAGTCTAGAAAAAAAGTTGTTTGTGCTTTCTAAGACGGTCAGTGAAGCGAGAAAAGCTTATGTAGTGCCAGTGAAACCTTGCAGGGCAAATGACCTTCGCTAGATGAGGTATCATGTACCGATGTCCAACCACTGGGCTGTAATTTTTGCTTACAGGTTTGCTTCTTCTGTTGGAATCTCCAGAATAGTTGTTAAAGCATGTCTGCATTTGGGCCCCCATTGGAGTCTCTAATTGTGCTGGTGGGTGACACTCCCAGGCAGTGGACTTCCATGTCAATGCTTCCTGAGTATACTGATGTGCAGCCAGGATCTGGAAGCTTTGCTGACAGGAACCCTATAATGTTCAGTGCGGTCACTGCTCAACAAATGCAAGTAGTGGAATGAAAGCGCATCTGTGATAACTTGTATCATAGTGAAGTGGTTTGCTCACATTTAATGAGCGAATTTAATGGTGTCAAGCTTTTTGCCAAACTTTTATATGTATTATCTTATTGCCAGAATTCTAGTCAATTTAGGAACTATTATTATCTTCACTTTACACATGAAACGATTAAAAAGTCAGTTTTCAAAGTCACAGTATTTGCCAGGGGCACATGCTGCTATTCAAAACAAACCCAATTGTGAGGCTTCCAACTAGGTTCTCAAAGTAGCAGACATCATAATCATTGGTAGGATTGTTGCCCACCCCTATTACGCCCCCCAGCGGAGATCTGGGAATTTGCATTTCTAACAGTTTCCCAATTGATACTGATAGAGAGGACCCCTTTGAGAGTTCACTCTCCACTATGCTTTATGCATAATGTCCTGTGAACCAGCTGTCTTCCTTCTGCCAATTATTAGCTGGGAGAAAGGGCTTTTAAACTTAAGGGATGTTTTAAAGCAGACTCAGTCAATTTACCTTGTTTTTCTTGATCTTACACCTTTTTCTTACAGACAAAATTTTCTGTTTTGAAAATTTGCAGAGTTAATAGGGGAGACATTTTCACTTAATATGCACCAATTGAAGATACCCGGGACTTATATATTCTTTCAAGATGCTCCACAGACATAGAATACTGGATAGGAAAGGTCAGGAGGAACTGGAGAAGTCTTTGGGAAATTGTTATACTCGAAATGCATTTAAATATCCAACAAGTGTAATAAACCACTCTGACCATACTGAAGAAAATTCAGTATGACTCTATAGAAAGCAAAGCTAAGTAGGACGCCTACTCGAGTCTTGGAATGCCAATCAAGCAAATTTAGGGAGCTAAATATTTGTAGAAGTATTACAAAAGTTTTCAAGACAAAC